AGTTGTCGAATTTTAACCGAGGGTGTGTTTAGTATCTTTTATTTTTATTTTTTACCCCTTTTCTTTCTCACACACATTCACACAATCTGTGGCGTGAGTCCTCTGGCTCAACTTGACCCCTCAGTCGAGTAATATGAAGCCTTTGGCATGAGGCAGAAGTGTTTGCGGATTAAAGTGTGTGTGTTTGTGCGCTCTGGCTGAGACCTCATTTGTGTGTTTGCGCGCTGGGCATGTACATTAGCAAACACTGCATAATTAGTCTCCACGTGCCCCCCCCCCGACCTCTTCCAAAATCAGGCTCAGTAGAACCCCTCCTCCTCAGGCCTGCAGTCATTGGATGATTTCAAACACTGATATTAATGATCTTTTAAAATCTACATAACCAATCATAACCAATGATGTGTCATGAAAACATGCATGGTGGTGTTGCCATGGTACTTTGTCCGTACATCAAAGACGTTTGGGTGGTGATGATTTACTCTGTACATTATCAGATGTGGAACGATATCGCTGTACCATATTATCAGGTTATGACCATGGCTTGTACACTCTCTGCAATGATATGTGTGTATGTGTGGCCATGGAGTGAACTGTGGATTATCATTTGATTGACCTGGAGCTCAGGCTGAGCGTCATCAACTGGTCCAGGATGCTGCATGGTTCCCCATTAATCCTGTGGTGTCTGAAGCTGCTACGCAAGGATTAGCCATGGGATTTTGGAGTGTCAGGCATTTTCTAATGATTTTGTACAAAATGTGAAAGGTTCATCTGAAACAAATGAAAATAAATTCCATGTTGATGTTTGAAATAGATGCTTTTTTTTTTTCTAACACCCTGGAAACCATTTAATATTCACTACAAAAACAGTGGGTTAATTCATTTAGCATCAAAGCGAGTACAAGTGGAAAACTTCATACCATAGTTAGGCCGAGAGGTGGAACCTAACCGGAATACTTTTTTAATTTATTGGCACTCAAACTGAATAAGCTTTTGAGGCATTCTGCCCGAGGATTTTCATGAGGATGGATGTCCCACTCTTTGTCAGGAAAACTGTTTGAGAATTTCCTGTTTTTGTGGCTTGTGATTATGGCAGACGAATGCCTCAGAACCCCAGAAGGCTCACAGTGGTTTACTGTATGACATTTTCTTTATGGTAAATTCAGTTCTTGCAAATTTGTGTACCTCAGGTTGCCCTTTTTCCCTTTTTATTTTCCCTAAACCTACTTTAGGTATTAATTCTACCACTTGGGGGCAGTGCAACTAGTTTTAAATGCAGCATTTACATATGAATCAATACAAATCTCACTTCCAAGATCTCAAACCTAGCAATGTCAGACACACCTAAGAAGTACTTTTGCTACATTTAGGTGTCCAGTGTCTTACAGATGTGACTCACCTCTGGTACATACCATAGTACGTATGTACAATGGTACCTTACATATTACCATGGTATGTACCATAGTATACAATAGTAATATGGGCATAACTATGGTATGTAGCATGGTAATATGTAAGGTACCATAGTATGTACCATGGTACATGTACTATAGTATTACCCTGGTACATGTACCATAGTATTACCATGGTACATGTACTATAGTATTACCATGGTACATGTTCTATAGTATTACCATGGTACATGTTCTGTAGTATTACCATGGTACATGTACTATAGTACCATTATGGTAGAGTACCATGGTAAACTTTCTTATGGGAAAGTAGGTATTCAACTGTTCAACAAACTTTAAGCTAACATGAATTCAGCTTTAGAAAACTCTTTCAATTGTTTAAGCACGATTTACGATATTTCAAAAGTGTATCCTTTTTTTTCTTAAGCATGCCAATCATATAAACTACTTTTCTACTTTTAGCCTTGTATCCATTCATTTTAGCTAACTGGTTATTTAAGAAGATTTGAACATTATGTTGGTTATTGACTATGACCTTAGGTTGTTTTTGTTTTATTTCTATCTCTTCAACTTACTGCTGCTACCCTGTGTTATAACAGTTTTTTTGTTCTTTTTACAAATGGAGACATTGGAGACTTGTATAGAAACTTGTGATTTTAAAATACAACGTTTCTCTTATTTGTAAAATATGAAATTACAAGTTCCCTTGCCTACATTTTCCCCTTCACAAGCAGAAGTGAGAAAACTTTTTTGGCAGTTCCAAAGAAAAGGAAAGGGGAAACTGCCATTTTTTTCAATACAGTAATGTCAGAGCTGATGCTTTTTCGATGCTACATTAGCGGCAGTAGCTAATTGTCAATCAAATATATTTTTTTTCTTGATAAACGGCTCGATGTCCCAGTGGTTTTTCATTATCTACTGTCTTTTAAGCAACTAATCAATCTAGAAATTGTACATTATTTATTTACAATAATTTGTCTACTTAACAACTCTTAGATTACTTAGACTCCGTAAAACAAACAGCACTATGACAATACAACAGCACTAGAGTCCCCCCTAGTGATTTAAAAAGAAAATGACTTCTATGTGTTATTATGGCTGATGAAAGCTTCATTCTCATCTTTGACTGCACAGGAGTGCTTGTCAAATGTTGTTGTTTTTTTAACACCCAGGCGCTCCTTCTCTGGTAGAAATAGGAATGGCATAGGGTTATAAATTTGCTCCTTTCATGGCAACAGCTGTTGAAGAACAAGGCTAAACAATATAGAGTTTAATTTAATTTAAACAATTAATGTTTTAAGCGTAGTAAAGGGAAAGTGATTGATCAGACTGGTTAAACTGGAACTATTAGGCTTATTTCACTTGGATGCTCACCATGGCTCCAGGCGTTCAGACGCTCATGTGGAATATGGCCGTGTGAGGGTTTTAGTGGAATATTATCCTCGAGGCTGAAACTATCTCTTTTCCTCACCTCGTCACTGGATCTCAGGTCTCCCTCCTGCATGCTCTGCACTTAATGTGCATGTGTGTTATGTGTTTACAATTGGATATGTGTGTCTTATGTTCTCTTGTTGAGCAAAGACATTGACGGATTGCTGAGGCAAAGAGTCTGGTTACAAACCAAATGTGTCCAAGAAACTCACATGATGACACAACTCTGAGAGACTTTCAGGCCAAACTTTCTCCTTTAAACACCAGTGTCTTGATGTCACGCAGAGTAAAGCCTCATTTATTAAACCCATAACAGCTGTTGCTCTTGTTCTAAGACGGGGGCTGAGGAACACCAAATAGAAGTGTCTTTCAAAAAGTTGTCTATATATAAAATATAAAAGCTAACAGCAAGCCTTACAAGTTGCCATCTTTTTAGAAAAGATGTTAGTTACAAAAGATGTTTTTTATTTGTTGTAAAACTGTCAAATAGCTACAGCAGCATTGCAATATTATTCCCATCTTGCTCAAATTATTGAGCAACTGGAAAGATAGTAGATAGTCTATATAGTCTATCGTTTTGCTGCATCATACTTTCAGACTTTATTGTAAGCTTGTAAGTGGTTGAATGCTAGCTGGTATTCTGTAGTTTCTAATGAATCAAAACAAAGATTCCAGAGGATTGCATGACAAAGAAATGTCAGTTTTCTGTTTATCTCGACCTATTAGCAAACCTCAAACACAGCAGTTCATCAGTACAACAGCAGATGAGCTTCCCACCATGAGAGTGATGTCAGGAGAAAATGGCCACCGTTTGAATATTGGGTAGAAAGGATTTCCCAATGTTTGTGTTCAATGAATGTCGTCATATATTTGACGTGTGTTTGTCTTAGTGGAGGCTTCACTGAGATGGTCACTATGATTTGTTGTTGCTGTGAACACACTCCATTGGTGCAAAGGGATCCAGCCACATTTTGAATAACACACAAACAAAATATCATAATCATACCAACAAGTGTACATGAGTATTTTGGGGGATACACTGATGTGTATGTGTACATACATGTTACAAGTTGGAGTGAACAGATGTAGTGCTGTTGTTTATAAAAAACACTAAGAAGACACTAAGAAATTAGTTGTAATATCACAAAACCAATACATACATATGATATAATAACCTTTATTTCCTGTCAGTTTGTGTATGTGTGTTTGTTAATATGTGAGAGAAAAGCAGTTTGTTGAGTTCAGAAAGCCGTTTCCCTGCTTATGTGGATTTACTGAGTCCTGTAAACAGGCTGCTGACAGGGTCCATTGTTCTGTCAGCTAATAAAGCGGCCATGCAGCTAACCCCAATGCTGCTAAACAGCCAAATCCCTCCAACCATTATCCCTGCCATCCACCCAACTCTCCTTAACCTTAAATGGAGCATACCTGTTTTTCAGCCCACTGTTTAGTATATAGTATTCTGCACATTCTGGACAAAAGCACAGCATATGATTTTAGATAAAGTAATGTATCTTCGATAAGCACTGACAACAACAAGTGAAAACTCAGGTGATAAAGGTAAATCAAAGAATGAGACTAGCTGAACTACTGTTGAGGAATGTAGTTAAACACTGTAAAACTCTGAATTCAGATTAGAAATGGAAAACAGAAGTGTGGGAGGGTTCATGTATGCATGTGTTTTTTTTTTAGAGTATGTGGGAGGAGAAAATAATAATTAAGATGCACACATATTTAACATTCATGCATACTGTACATTTATCTTCCCATTTAAACACTTTTATTTTCTGTAAGGCAATGTTTGGAGAGCTTGAATGAAGACAAATAGAAATAATCTTTTAACAGTGTTTATCCAGGATCTATAAAAATTTTTAAAAATGTTTCGTTTGTAATGAAAAACAAACATATATATATATATAATATATATATATATATATATATATATATATATAATATATAAAAATATATATATATAAATAAAATATAAATATATATAATATATATATATAGTACGGGTAAATTTTATTAGTGGTAAAAAAACGATACACCACCTAAAATAAAAACAAAATCCGCTTCAGTAGAATAATTGGCTGATTCTCACGGGCACGCCCACGCTTCTAAGACGCGAGCACGTAAGGTTATACCCGTTAAGGACATGACGTCAGTACGTGCTTGAGCCTGCCCGAAAATGTTCTCTCGTGTTGTTGGATTTCGAGGGAGCGCAGGACTTTGCGATGAAATAATACATTTTAAACCGTGAGGAAAACAAAAAACGAACCGCATGTTTTTAAACTGAAGTTCTTCGCGTTCCCATTAAGTGGTGAAACTGGTGTTTTTTTTTTTTTTGGAGGGAGGGGGGGGACTCCAAAGGGAAGTTTGTGTGATCGTTTTCTCCCGGAGTGATGTCGAATCCTGGGACTCGGCGGAACGGGTCCAGCATCAAAATCCGACTGACAGGTAAAAAAAAAAAAAAAAAAAAAGGAGACCGAAAGAAAGCGCTTACAGTGCCGGTTCTCTTGTGTTATATGTGGCGTTAACTGTTTAGTCTTGATGTAAACACACAGATAAAGACACAGCGTAACGTCTTTAAGACTCTCAGTTTGCCCAAACATCCGGTTTTTGTGTGGCAAACACACAGTGCTAGCTTGTTAGCCGAGATGCTAAAGCAAATAACCGAGAGGGCAGTCGAGAAGCTTTTGCACTTTTTCCCCTTTTGGCTTTTTTTTTATTATTATTATTTTTTTTACAGTTTTGACACCCGACCTGTCAAGTGTTTTCGGGGTCATTTGAAACATCATCTCTGTAAAGTCAGAAACTTTGTTTTACTCATGGCTAACGTTGGCTAATAGTAACACTGCTACCAGTGTTGACCGCTAACGCTTGCTAGCTACACCCATTTTTTTTTTTTTTTTTGGGGAAGGGAGGGGGGCAGGGCAGACCACCAGTCAAACTCATCGCTTGACCTGAATGCGACAAGCCCCGTGCTGGTGAAGAAAGCAAAAAAAAAAAAAAGAATCGACCTGCAGCCTGTCTGGAAAGCAATCTGTCGGTAGATTTGACATGCTAGCCTCAATTAGCTTTGAGTATCGACTGGCACTACAGTATCAGCTGCGGCAGGATACATGTCTGTTCAACTCATCCAGGATAAAGCTCAACACCTTTTAGCTCTTTTTTTTGAGTATTTGAGTATTTTGTTGGTTTATGAGTCAGATTGGTTTCTGTTAGGCACACACAGGAGTCTCTTTCTTCTCACACACACACACACAGGGACACAGCTGGAACAATGGTTCTTACTGTAGCTAATGTTGCTCCGTTGGGCATCCAGGGGCGTCTATTCAAATGGAAATGACCTCCCCCTGTGCCGCTGGGCAGACGCCATGTCCTCCACCTGATTCAAAACTACGCAAATGAACACCAAAAAAATGTTCCTGCTGGACAGACTAGATATTTCCTAAACTGGGCTGTATGCATCACTGAATGATAGCACATGCCCATGTTTAATTGTGATGCATGTTTTTTTTAAGTGAAGTGCTCCTCTGAATGTTGACTTCACACGTCTGCCACATGCTGTTTGTTTTCACACTACCCCCCCCTATTTCTGAATCTGGCTGCAAGAATGCAGCACATGCAAACGTAACCCCATGATACTATTAAAAACAGTACGTGACATGGGTACTTAAAAGAAAACAAAATACTGAAGAAAGTCAAGGGGGGAAAAAAACAGACAAGATGTTGATTTAAAAAAAAAAAAAAATTCCAAACAGCTTTAAATTGCTGATCATTTTATCAACCATTAAGTTGTTTTGGTAAATCAGTTTTAACAATAAATATAGTTAATTGAAAATGGAGATTTTCTTTTCAACTTAGTCCGCCGCTTGCCTTGGGTTCCTGTAGTTCAAATCCCCCCCCATATACCTGGCCCCAGGTATATGGCAACAGTCACATTGAGCTATGCTCTGCCTCATCTTAGACTTTCTTTATTGTCATTCAAACTTGTACTTTACAGTGCAGATAAGAACGCAATTTTGTTGCATTTGGCTCGTTGTAGTGCAGGATAAAAACCGCAGCAAGTATTTACATAGAAAAAATAAGGTGCAGATATAAATAGATATAAAAAGAAAAGCTATGTATAAAATTACTATACAGATAAATATATTGCACGTTTGTGATGTATGTTATATTGTATTTACAGTCCAGTGAGGTAGTCCTGTGTGGGGTTTGAGGGGGAATGGAGGGATTCTTTTTTTGTGTTCAAAAGTCTTATGGCCCGTGGGAAGAAGCTGTTACAGAACCTGGAAGTTCTGCTTCGGAGGCTGCGGAACCTCTTTCCAGAGTCCAGCAGCGAAAACAGTCCTTGGTGGGGGTGGGAGGTGTCTCTGCTGATTTTCTGAGCCCCGGTCAGGCAGCTGATTTTTGCGATATGACCTTTTACTTTTGCTTAAGATTTAAGTTTATAGCCTGCATTTCTCTTTCACCCCTAAAGAGAAATGCAGGTTACTTTATTAATCCTCCAAAGGGTTTCTTTAGGTAAATTTTATTGAAAAAAATGAAAGCAAGAATTGTTTTTAGTCATTTCTTGGTCATTTATAGTTTCTCGTGCAAAAAACCCCAAATTAAACAGTCAGTCTAGGTGTGTGGGAAACTATCTGCTTTTTTGTTTTGTAGGCCATATCACGCTCAGCCCTTGGTTAAATTGTCTATTCGTATGCATCACACCAAATATATATTCTCTTAAATGAATTTTTTTTTTCAGTATTTAACTGATTTTGACAGAAGTTGGCATTTAATTGTACTCTAAGCATACTTCCTATTCCCAGGCAGAGCTTCTGGTGAAAAAAAAATGATGTCCTCCTCTTCAAAAATTAGTGTTGTGGCTGAACAGAGAGGCTTAAAGTAAAGTGATGATCAAACTACTGACATAAAAAGGTAACATGACATCGTGGTTAGAAAATCAGATTAAATCCAGATTAAGAAAGTTTGCCAAATACGTCTGTTGATTCCAACCAAGAAGATAAACATACAAATCCTTCCTAAATAAAATAGTATCAATGCAATGAGCTTCAGTTGATCGCTTAATGGTTGAACTTGGACATGTAATTTATTCTAATCAACAACGTTCTGTCCAAATTAACACCATTACTTTAAAAATGTCAGTCTTTTCTTGACTAGGCTACATCTTGAATTTGATGAAGGATTTGTGAGTGAAACAGTTTAAGCTGATGTTTGCAGGAGCTTGGCTCACAGCCCGTCCCGATGTCCTCTGTCCATTCAACATCGGAGAAACACAGATTTTTACCATAACACTTCTTCGTCTTCTTCAGTGTTCAACATGGCTTAATTATTTTGTTTTGTTGCTTGAGATAAGAAAGAAAACCCAACAGATACTATGGCTAAATAATAAAGATTTAAGGAAATATGTCCACAACACTGCGTTAAAGAGACTGAGATGACATTGGAAGGGAAAGTGCTTTATTTAGTGTTTTCAATTATTTTCAGTGGGAAAAAAATATAGCTTTATGTGCAACACATCTTAATCAGTTGTCCTAATTAAATGTACTGTAATGTAATGTTATCAAGACAATAATGACAAGACAAATGAATCAACAAGGAAATCCCTAATCAACAAAACATCCGTAGCATAATAAATAAAGTAGTTGAACAAAAATCAGCCAGTTTAATAATACGATCAGTGCTCTAATGGTAAAAATGGTAATGGTAAATCAAATGTATGTTTTCATGTTAAATGACTCAATAGATCCCCTGGTGAACAGACAGTGGTGTTTCTGATGAGTGGAGACAGAAGGAAACAGAAAGTGTTTGGATGTTTCAGACAGCTGGGAGTGTGTGTGTATGTGTGTGTGTTAGTTATGCGTTTGGGTGTGAACCAGTCACTGATTATTTCAGCCTGGATGCAAACAAAGGTCATTGCCCCTGACTGTGCCCCGCCCCCTCAGGTATGAGTGGAATTCTAATTGGGTGAGGAATGTGCGATGAGCCAATGGGAGTGCAATGCTGCCTGGCTGGCCAGTGCTGTGTTTAGTCTGTCAGTGTGAGGCCTTGTTTGGCCTACATCAGAGATGAGTGTGTGTGTGTGGCAGGGACAAAGACACACACCAGGCAGGTTTGATGCTGGTTTAGACTGCACTAGGTGTACATGGACATGTTTTAGCTGGCCACAAGGTAATTTTGTGTCTTTCTGTTGCTGAACTGTAAAAAAAAAAAAAAAATAGACTTAGCTGTAGGAGATGGGCTGTAGGTGTTTCTCAGCTGCATGAAAGAAGTCAAATGAGGGGAACAGAGCTGAAAAATACAGCTCGTATCATGAAGAAAATATATTTTAAGGCTTATTTGAACACTTCCCAAACACTCGCTTGAAGTTAGAAATAATCAAAAAATGTTGTTATTGCCTGTTAGAATGTCTATCATGTGATGAAGTGTTGCTCTTTTCAGTAGTTATTATATATGATATATGCTGCATTTTTATTTGCGAAATCCTGGGAATGAACAAAGTACGTCTTGTAATCATATAAATAATGCATGGTTCATTTCTGGTTGTGGTCTCTGCTATAATCTCCATTTCCATGCCGCTGTCAAAGTTTGAATCCCAGACTTGGTCAGGACACGCACATTTCTGGATAAAAGGCTTGGAAAATAGAAAAGAGTGTTTTTGTTTGGAAAATGAATGAGCTTTATTGTGTAAAAAAAAAAAAAAAAAAATCCTGTCTAATGAATGAAAGTCTCAGTGATCCAGACGGATAATGTTGATTTGTTCATGGAAGCAACACGTGACGCACACGTTTTGATGCCAGGTAGTCTTATTAAATGCTGACTTGCGAAAGAGCCAACAAAGGGCTACGTCAGGTACCACAGCCTGGAAACTCACAAGAGAGATGTAAACGTATATGGATACAAACAGCAGCTCGAGTGAAAGAGAAAGAAAAGAAGGGAATCCCTCTGACTAAGAAAGCAACATAAGCACTTCTAATCCTCTCACTTACTGATCCAGCAGCATGTCTGCTAACCAACACAAAAAGCTCATAGGGCGCCCGTAGAAACTGACAATATTGCTCATACAAGCAGATGAAAAAGCACAGATACAGTATTTGTTTGTTAACCACTGCCCTGCAAGTTCCTTGGAACTATTAAACATACTTTTTGCGTTTGTTTGGCAGTGAGCACACAGATCCATTTGTCATCCTGCGTGTGTGTTTGGATGCTGGTGCAGGGCTTGTTATTAAGTAGGTGAGATATTTGCTCTTGTGCCCGCTGGCTCTCTTTGTTTTTGGAAGCTGAGAGGGGAGATTACGTTGCAGTAAGAGTAAGATGGGGATCTTGGTTGTATTAATTCTGTCCGCCAGTTCGTATAACTTCATTTGATATCAGTTCAAGATGCGGAAAGGACAACAGTATGCAAACTTTATTAATAAACACAAGTCATAAATAGAATAAAACGCCAGGAGCTCAACGTAAAACGATAAGAACATAACCTTGACAAAGAAAGAAAAATAGGATATGCTCTAAATCCTAATTTCTGAAATGATGCAGACAGAGTCTTAGTCGTTATGGCTCCAACAAAAAAGCACTTCAGATGCCATTTATGAAATGAATGGGGGCTTTTTAGAGTTTAATATAACAACTTTAAAATAACTTACAACGTATTCAAGGTAAATCTTTGGTTGACACACTTCTCTCACTCGTCTGCTTAAGAGTTTGGAGGGAAACTCAATATTAAGTTGAAGCTGCTTTACTCAGTCATATTACCAGTTTACATTGTCATGTTGGTTGGTTTTAGAGAGGTGGAGACCTCCATGGCTAGTTGTCTCCTATTTACAACCCTTTCAACCCAAACCAGAGAGGAGTCATAACATTACAACAAGACGTACGCCTACAGCCTACACAACTAATTTAAGTGGCAGCTCAGCTCACTGCCCCTCATAGACGGGCTTTGTTTAAGCGTTGGATAAAAACTGTTTATATTTCTTCAAATAGCTACTACTACTTCCAACTTACCGCACATCTGCTTGCTAGCACTACATTGTTTATGTTTGCTTGTCACAAGACAATAAAAGGAAGTCTTTTTTTTTTTTTTTTTAGGGGGTGGGGAGGGGCTTTGAGTAGTTAACAGTGGCAGCCTTAATACCTTCATGGAGGTAGCACAGTGCAGTTTGCTGTGTAGTTGACTGTTGTGGACCAGATTGGTGAATAACTGGCACATTTGCTGAAGCGGGATTCTAGGTTTTTTAAAGACGGAAATGGAGGATACTGGTATTTAGATTGGGACAACTCAACCTGAAAAGTCTGCTGTCTTGCAAATGACATAGTGTATCAGGGTGTAGTAATACATCACATTGTTCTCTGCATTCAGTATTTGACACACATTAATGGGAACAACAATATTTCTTCATCACTCCAATTATAAGGAAGTAGTGGTTGTGTATGGTTCACTCTGAAACATTGCAGTCCAGTGTGACCTAGAAGGATTGAAGTGAAATTTGTGATGGCAATATATTGATACCAATGAGCAGAGAGTTCGCTGCATCCTGGCATTGTTCTCCCAAAACATGACCATTACCTTTGATTGGAGCAGGTTCCTCATGTGCCTCTAAGCGTTACCAGTTCTATGGTTGCTGTCATCACCAGAGGAGCAGTAGCGTTTCCCTCTGATTAAGATGCAGGAGTGGCTAAATTGCAACCCCTCAAAGAGTTCAAGGGAGCTGGTTGATTGTGCGAGAAACATGATGTGACTTTAAATTCCTAGAGGAGCTGCTAGCGTGGCACAGAAGCAGCTCAGTGTGTCGTCGCCTCCCCCCTGAACTGTTTCTGCTTGTTCCCTCAAGATTGCATGAAAAGGATTCTTTCCCCCGCTGGCTCTCTCCAGCGCTCAGGTTTTTTTTTTTTTTAAAGGAGGGGAAGTAAAATGACAAAAAAAGAACACTGCAGTGGGGAAATTGAGGACCAGCTGAGCTGTATCTCTGTGTGTCTTCACTAGGCACGACCTTGGCAGGATGAGGTCTTTCCTGAGACGCTGGGAAAGGCTCAGTCACACACTCGATGCCACAGAGGAAGCTGGTCAGGCAGTAGATAATGGAGGGAGAGAGAGGGTGAAATTAGGGGGGGGGTCCCTCGTTTCTGCCAAACAGATTGGAGGGGTGTTAAGCAATGACAGTGGCAGAGGAAGTCATCCTTTAAAAGCGGATGCAGGGGTAAATTGGAAACTTGATTCCCCCCTCTCCCCCTCTGTGTGTCTTTGATTGTGTCTGTGTAGAAACGGTGAGGTCTCAGTGAGGAATGTGTGAGTCAGGAGGAGGAGGAACACACAGGGTTTGATGAGGAAGAGGAACGGATATCCTGCAGCCAATCTAAACTGGTTAATCACAGCAAATAAATGCCAGACAAATGTACATCACCACACAGTTACCACATCCTGAACCAACACCTAACTGACTAACTTCCTCACTGACTGTCTGGGACAAACAAATCATGCTGGATCTCAAAGCTGTGATAATGTTTCAGGTGGAGAAAATCAGTTAGGAAAGTCTGATGGAGCACGGTCAGCTGTGATCTGTGTCTCCACTAGCTGCCACGCACAGGATTTAAAAGTGGCGGGTGTATTTTCTATGGTCATTTCCACTTCAACATCAGACTTTGTCATAATGGCAGCTGCTCTGCATCTATGTACCAGGGAATTATTCAAGTAGACAGAGCCCCGCCCGTAAAAAATTTGACGGAAAAAAAGATGTGGCTAAAGTGTCGCTCACATCGACCTTGATGCTGAGATAAGATCACCACCCAGCGCTATAAACCAACCTAAAGGTAATACATAATAACTGAGTGATATCACATTAGTGGCATGTCATAATCAACGGCTTTGCAGTAAAAGTTTGTCTTCATTGTAACAGCAGTAACGCTGCATGTCGTCTACGGAAGAAAAACAGTCCTCTGCAGGGCTTCAGTCGTTCAGTGGCTGTTTAACGTTTCTTCCTCTCGTCTGTGGGAAGTGAACATAACATCAGGAGCATAGATTCAATTAATTACATTTAAGTTATTAACAACACTGTATGAGATGTTCTCCATTTGATTTCATTTTTACTTGAACTTCAAACAAACAAATACAATAATATACAGGATGTTCTCATGGAACATTTAAGATTAGATTAATAATCAAAAATGGAGCCAGATATTGCAGTTACAACAAGAACAACAGAGCAGCTTTTATTACCCACACTACGGAAACCTTTGCCCCTCAATAAAGTCAGTCTTGGTGTTATATTGATAGCTTTGCTATGTAGCCCTGTGGAGAAACTTGTACTTTATAAAAGAAAAAAATCACTGAAAACCGAGTAAATTAGGCTAACCACATGTTAGAGAAGTATTTGTCCTTTTATCTTTAAACATGACCAAATGATGAAATCAATAATAGTTGACTTGTTTTATTTATCTCTTAAGGCCCCGTTGTGTCCACCTAGCGTCTTTTTCCGGGCAGAAAATCGCTGTCTGTGCGCCCGGGAGCGCTTGCATGAAGCGTTTTGTGCGCTGAGAGGAAAAGTACTGCACGTCCATCCTGTCTCTATGACAACAGTCTGTTGACAACTGCTGCTGTATTACCGACACGGCTCTGTTTCTTATGACTTCATGTTTTTTTTATTTTAGACTGTTTATTTCGGGATCAGACACGAGGATGTACTGTAGGTACAGTGAAGTTGGAAGATTTTTAACATGAGCGTTCAGAGTGCTCGGGGGGGAAAAAAGACACTGTTATACATTAAACCCAGTTTAAAGCCTTGGCAGATTAGCACAGGAGGCAATCAATAATTCATGCCATCGTGGGGGACAACACTCCTCCCCCTTCTGTCTCGCCTCTATCCCAGTAACTGTCGCTGCTCTTCCACCTCATTAGTCAGCCTCGTCTTTAAAAAGAAGAGCAGAGGAATGGAGACGGGAGGTTTTTTGTTCCTGTCACATTCTCCCTCTTGTTTCAGTCCACTTGACAAGTCTATGGAGATATAATGGACATGACCCTGTGGAGCTTTCGGGAAGGGGTCCAAATGACTATGTAACAGTGCTGGTGAAAACAGTGCATTCAGTACACGTTCTGTTTTTATGACACTGAGGCATAACTTCTAACGTCAATCATCCATTCATGATCAGTGGGCTGTATCATCAGAATACTATCTTCTACTCACAACAATACACAGGGCTGTCCGACCAGGAATCACAACTCCCTAAAGAGCTCACCTTTTGTGTCTTATGAAGAGTTTACACCTAGAGCCAATTCTTTCAGATGTTTGTGTTCATTCTTTGACCACATGCGGCTCCAGTAGAAGGGTTAATGCACCAAATTATGACCTGCAGTGTCAATATTATGATCCTCTTTCTGTTATTTGCGCCTTACAGTGTGTCCGTGTTTGAGTTCATAACCTCAGGCTTGAACACAAACACAAAGGTTGTTTTTGCTCCGTCCGCACACCGCAGTATAATGAAGACTTGTGACTGGCTGTACAAAATTGTGCGTCTTACAATGAGTGTGTTGTGGTGATGTCGTGTTCGCTGATCTGATTCTAGAGTCACATATGCCAGCTCTCTCACACCAAACAGACTGCCCCGACGAATACAAAACCAAAAATGTACACTCACAGCCAAAGCACGCACACAATAGACTCAATACTTAGCACACATTTACAATTTTCACAAAGTGTTGGTCAGTCTGAGTTTGCCTCTCTGAATCCACAAAGATGATGTGGCAGCAAAGGCATTCTGCCACTCTAAGTGTGGGCGGCCTGTGTGTGTATGTGTTTGCGTTTCTCTGTGCGTAAGGATCCCAACCTTAGCCTATACTTTACTGCTGTCTCCTGTCTGCATGTCACATAACTTCTCCTGCTCATTTCCATCCTCTGGCATTCATATATGCTTCTCCTCACACACTTTCTATGTTGGACTACATGCCTCTGTAGCAGCCTACACACTGTAAGATCATTTCCATATTTTTCTCTGTGTGGCATTTTGTTCATAACAGTTTTCTCTTTTACAGTATTATGTGCCAAAAACCTCGCAAAGAAAGACTTCTTTCGTAAGTACCTCTTTAATATGTGCACAAATCTTTAGACGTGAAACATTTCCATGTTTGGTATACACAATGAGATGATGTGTGTCACTGAGGGCAGCAGGGATTCAAATCCTGGTTTTGAAATATCAGTACCGCCCCAGTAAAAGTCAAGATCATGGGACCTTTCTTCAGATCTTGAGTGAATTAAATTTTGTCTGATACTTAACTGTTATCTTCTTTGTGATTTAATGTAATGGATGCAGACAGTTAATTTTTTTTGTGTGCCTGCAGGCCTTCCGGATCCTTTTGCCAAGGTTGTTGTGGACGGATCAGGTCAATGCCACTCTACAGACACAGTCAAGAGCACACTGGACCCCAAATGGAATCAGCACTACGACCTGTGAGTCTCCTGCAACCCTACATCCATTTGTAAACATTTCATTATTTAATCCATCTTGTCACTTTTCGAAAAGCTCTTGTAGCTCAGAGGATTTTTTAAGAAATGGACTGAAATTCATACAATGAAAAAAATGTATGCATTCATTTCAGATGTTAATCACATCAAGATGAAAGCATTAATGATGACAGCCCTAATTCTAACAAATAAAAATGTACTCTGGCCGTCAAATTAAGGGTCTTGAAGGCCCACTAGTACTTGACTGTTTAAGAGAGCACTCACACTACGCAAAGTTGCTCCTCACAGGGCTTAAGCACGATTGTCCCCCCTCCCCATTCTGTTGGTTTGGTTACACTTTCTAAAAGGGATGCACGGTAAAGTCTGTGTCCGCACATCAGAGAACAACACGGAGAACCTGACTGTAACTTTACTGACTTTGTGGCTTCTTTTTTGGTAATTTAGTCAGAACACTCCAGGATTTCTCAGTCATGGAAGGCTGTCCACATTTCGTGCCCGTCCTTGTGCTCTTGCATGAGTCAGAGCACACCTCATCCAACTGTGCCAGAGCCAAGGAAGTGTACCGGAGCACTCACACTAGTCCAATGAACTGGACCTTTGGGGGTCAAACGTGATTGGGCGCGGTACAGATTGCCCATTGTGAGTGCGTCCAGACAGAAATTTCTCACTGTTTCAAAATACTGTCTGTTTTTCAGTTACATTGGAAAGACAGACTCCATCACCATCAGTATATGGAACCACAAGAAGATCCATAAACGACAGGGGGCGGGCTTCCTGGGCTGTATAAGACTTCTTTCAAATGCCATCAGCAGGCTAAAAGACACAGGATGTAAGTCTGTCTTCATTTTCTCCAGTCAAATGAACACAGTCACACACAAGCTGACTGTTTGATGAAATGCTTTTTCTTCCAGACCAGCGTCTCGATTTATGTAAACTGAACCCCTCGGACAGTGATGCAGTCCGGGGGCAGATTGTCGGTAAGGCTTCACACCAGGACACAAGAAACCGAAATCTGTTTTGCTTCGTTTTTGAGTTGAATTCTGTCTTCTCTCTGATCCTCTCTGATCTTTACTACCTATCTGTTTCCAGTGAGCTTACAAACACGAGACCGCATCGGTAGTGGAGGCCCTGTGGTGGACTGTAGAGGACTGTTGGAAAATGATGGGTGAGTAATGTAATAAATACAAATACAGTTTCCAGCTAAAAACAAGTGGTCTCGTCTGTTCTGCAGCTATAATAATAAAATCGTTTTCCTATCTCTGAGCTCTAAATAAAAAGCAGTTGAGTAAATATTTGATTCCAAATAATGTGAAAAACGGCCATTCAGCATTATATGTGTATGTGTGTGTGTGTGTGTGGCTGGGTATGTAGGCCTGTGTTCGAGGGATGCTTCAGTGAAGAGCCGCTGCCCTACTCAGACCCCACCGGTGCAGCGGGGGGTGGGAACTGTCGTCTTGACTCGCCCAGTCAGGAGAACCGTCTTCAAACACAGCGAATCAGAGGGCAGGATTCGCGAGGCCATGGGCACACACCCCAGAACAGACCCCATGGGCACCAGCCGCCTGACCTACCAGAGGGATACGGTCAGTCAAACAGAATTTATCAAATCAAATCTGTTCTTATTTTAGTTGCTCAGCTGATTCCTTTATTGCCTTTCTAAAGCCTTATTACGTCTGTTCTTTTTCAAAACAGAGCAGAGAACAACAGTACAGGGCCAGGTCTACTTTCTTCACACACAGACGGGTGTCAGCACCTGGCACGACCCCCGGATACCACGGTATGATCACACCCCCTTCACCTCTGTCAAAGCTAAGCACCACATAGAAAGGAGACAAGCCTTGTATGCACTCTGTTCACAAACTGGGTCATTTCAGCAGCAGAGGAGGAGGACATGAAGAAGAATTAAACTAAAAGACGACACAGGGTCGCCCCCCCCCCCAAGGAGACTTTAAAGGCCCCATTATAAGCAGCTTATTTGAAAATGTATGAAAAATCACTCTACACCCACAGCGACTGATCTCACACTTTTGTTTTCCTGTACTGCATTCATGTTAATACCAGCCTCTAGAACCATTCTCACTGGACACGAGTGAGCAAAAGTAAGAAATGAAAATGAAAAGCCATAAATTGGTGGAAAGGAAAATGGAATTCACCAAAATGAATGAAATAAAGTATACATGCTCAATTTTTCCTGAGGGAAGACCCCCGGTCCCCCTCTTATTATACTCTTATGTTCCCTGTGCTGGGTATCCGTAGTTAATCTAACGTGATAAAACAAACTATCTACTGGCATTCCCAGAGTAGACACAGTTTAGGGTGCAGGTTTTATTACGCTTAGAACATAAACTGCAGATTAGACAGTTGTGCAGTTAAAAATGTTGATATGTGCCCGTCCTGCTCTGCACTCTGTTTATTTTCCTGCTTGTTTTGTTCTTTGCATATTGCATTTTTGTTAAATTAAAATTAGTGTTGAAATGATTGTTTTTCTTTTTCTGGCAATTTTCATTCATAGTGAGACATGAATGGAAACGCTTCCCTCCTTTAAAACTAAACAGAACACAAATGACAAAAACTCTCCATGCTGCTCCCAACATCTGTCCTGTGTTGAGTATTAAAGTCCATATTCTCTTTGTGTTGTTCTGCAGTAACTACACCAACAGATTTTTTTCAGTGTCTGAGGTCAGAGTTTAGCTTGGTATAAGGGGTTAAGAACACGACAGTTCAGTTGACAAATCAAAAGTAATGTCCACCTTTATGAAATCAAACATTTCACTTTTTTACAGATCCTTTGAGCTGTTTTTATTTAGCGTTTCAGCTGTGACAAGTTCCTTTTCCTTCTCACTACCAGAAGGTCCTTGCTTAATTTCAAAATAAGAGCAGGGTTGAAATGAAACAGCACTTAAATTACTCCCAGCTTAAGACAGTAAAGAAAGTAAAGAAAAGTCAAACATGTGATTGATCACAATCAACAATTGAAAAGTTGGGATTAATTGGGATAATAACATTTTTGAATAATTTGACCGCCCTTAATTACAGTAAAACTCGTGTTTAATATTGATCTTTTAATTTACTAAAAATACAGCGCTCTAAACAGTGTCACAACTTCATAACTCCTCATTGATGACATGAATGAGAGTTACATGAACAGATGTGAATCATCCAAAGAAGAAGTTGACACAGGAAAGAAGAAGTAATCATGTTTACCACACACAGACGATACCTGGGCGGGCAGAAAAGTATTTGCAAAACTTTGACAGCCTTAGTCTGCTTTGGAGTCTCACTGTGGTTACGTATTGCCCGTGCAGGGATCTGACCAGCGTGAGCTGCGAAGAGCTTGGGCCGCTGCCAGTTGGCTGGGAGGTCCGAAGCACCGTGTCTGGCCGGATCTACTTTGTGGATCACAACAACCGGACCACTCAGTTCACAGACCCGCGTCTACACACTATTATCAGGTACAATGTTCCCACGCTCTTGACCTTTCAAACTCTTTCCTGAACCCTGCATCCCTCCCAAAAATAATCCACCTACACCTGAGTGTAGACATCACTGGTACATTCAAAATAAGTGGTTTCAAGACTAATCTGTGGTTAATCTAATCTCTCACTGGACTCATTCTGCTTCTAACATGACCTACTAACAGTCAGCTCTGTTAATGATGCAGAATCGTCCTGTTCACAGAAACGTGGCTTCGGATTACTTTTAACTGCTGTTGGCAAATGTAGTGAGTGTAATCCTGCCTGCTCTTTTTCTTCCTAAACTCTCTCTCTCTCTCTCTCTTCCGCATCCTCTTCTCTCTTCCCTGCCTTCCCTCCTTCAGCCAGCAATCCCAAGCAAAGGATTCCTCTCAAGCCCCCCAGATGGAAGTGGGGGGCGAAGAGGTGGGAGGTGGAGGAGTTGGCGGCGTCGGAGGAGTTGGAGGAGGAGGGGGCGAAGGAGACGTAGCAGCGCGATACGAGAGAGACCTGGTCCATAAGCTAAAGCTGCTCCGACACGAGCTGTCCCTGCAGCAGCCTCAGGCAGGACACTGTCGCATCGAGGTGTCCCGAGAGGAGATCTTTGAGGTGAGCGCAAAGGTCAAAGCAGGAAGGAAAAAGAGAAAACACAGCATTTGTCTAACATGATCAGTACATAACCAGACAAGGATCTGACCCTCTCTTACACAGATACATATCAGACGTTAGCTCCAGAGTGTTTACAGTCCAGGGGACCCCTCATTTGGATGAACCCTCAAGAATAACTCAGATATTTATTAGGGTTTATAAATCCCAGAACACTGAAGTTATCATTGGCAAGCGGTTCAAGGACTTTTATAGAAAAACAAGAACAACTTTCTTTGAAACTATTCAATGCCACAACTCCGGTTCCAAGTAGAAAAACCTCTACTGGTGGAGTTCCACTTTGAATGGCCTACTGTTTTCTTTCATCCATTTGACTTTCTGATGAAATCAGAAGTTTGTTTTTCAAGGTCCACATCGCCATGCCATGAAAATAAAGGCATTTAATAATAACTTTTTAGAAGAGAGGGCCTTTTAATACTTTTATTTTTGTAAACAAATCGAAACAATACGACAAACAGTTCGAAGCTTGATCCAAAGGCAACTGGACTTGGTTCAAGATCTTGAGGACCTTTCACCTCTCCTCTGAAAGGCTTCTTCAGTTCTAAACTATCTGTGGACGGAGCTAGAAATGTAAGCCTCTGTGGTTCATGAGTATGCAGGCGTTAGGGCATATGCAAGCGTTTAATTAAAATGTTGGTTCACTTTTAAGCAAGTAAACCTTGTGGAGTGCTGGTTTGATTGAAAACACTTCAAGTTGAAAACAGGTGAGCAGCACATCTCAAGGCAAGTTAGTTTGGGCAGTCGGTCTGTTCTTCACAGCTATCAGTGTTACTGTAGGCCGAGAGCTCAGCTACAGTACTGATAGCTAGCAGGGTTACAAACTCCACATGTTGAAAACAGATGTTACTAGAAAGAGCTACACAGCTGCACATAAACTGCTGGGGACTTTGTTGAACGCAATGGATATCATCACGCAGGAAGACCGTTAAACCTTTTTACCCTCTCAGAGATCCCGAAATACAGACTGCCTCTTCTAGTCCGGATTTGAGGGTAGTTATAAAAGGCTGCTAACATTGTAATGTCAGAGGAAATCTGGTGTGCTATGTGAAACTGAGTCCACTGTGCTTTTAGAAGTCACAGATTAGGTTGTTTCTCCTGGAGAGATTTGAGCAGTTTCTGCAGACATGTCGATATATTTTTTTGAACTTGTTCGTAAGTCAGAGGAACTCTTGACCTAAAGAGGCCTAACTTTTTAGAGATATTGCTCAGATTCTCAGTAAAGTTACAAACACCCTTTGAGGATTTGTATAAGCTCAAGTTAAAAAAGAGAATGCTGAATAGAGATCCTCTCCCCATCAATTTAATCATCTCTCTCTCCTCTATGGATAAAATACTTCAAAAGAATAAGTGGGATGAAAACTGAGGAAAACAGGATTGCTATAATCACATAGACTTAACAGAGTCTTTTTTTCTGTTTGTCTGAATCTCTCTGCATACATTATGTTCTGTCCCCGTGTTTCTGCTCTTCACTGATTATGTTGCCACGTCCCCGCTCTCATCTGCTCTATGTTCGCTCACAGTAAACATAAAGTAAAAAATCAAAGTGTTTGCAGTGGAGCTATGAAAGCAGTGTGAACTAAGTGGGTAGTTGTGAAAGTTTACAGTTCATACAAACACATCCACAGTGTTTGTGACACCCACAGTCCCAACTACCTTCACTTGTATTACTTTTCTCTGGAGCAGCAGGTCGCGCTAATTAACGAACAGTCTAACAGAACATCATGGATCTAAAGGGCCAGGGCGTTTGGTCACAAGTTCTTTCTTTCTGTGGTAAATTGTGTGTCCTTGGTTTTGTATTAACGTTGTGTTTTTGTGCAGGAGTCATATCGGCAAATAATGAAGATGAGGCCAAAAGACCTGAAGAAGCGTCTGATGGTGAAGTTCAGAGGAGAGGAGGGTCTGGACTACGGTGGAGTGGCCAGGTAATTTCTTCTCTTTACATCTTTGAAGAGTTCGTCTCCTGTGTGATGTCATTGCCATTAAATATCCTGTTTCTGTCTGAACATCTGGTCCGGAGAGAAAGTTAAATTGGCTGTGACGCTCTGAGTAACTTGAGGACAGATGCAGGCGTACATGATCATATCAACTTAGATTTAAGACATGTAATCTGTGTTTCAGTGACATTTTCTTCAAATTAAACCATGCATTTAGTATCACTGTATCAGATCAATGTTTAAACCTAGAAGGATGAGGATAAAATGCAGTTATTGAACTTTCCCTGGTTCAGGCTGTGACTGGTTAACTTCGGCTTTGATTAAGCTGCAGCTGAGCCTCCATATAGGAGACACAAGATAGCAATATTTATCGTCCTACTCCAATACACTGTACCTCTTGTACATAACATCCTAATACAACACATGCATGGCTATACGTGATCAAAGCGTGCTTAGTTAACAACACAGGCAGACTTGATAATATTAATAATCTAGAGATTTTCGGTTTGACGTTGTTTCTTGCGGCTTCTTTTGTGACTTTGTTTCTCTGTGTGTCTTGAACATGTGTTAACAATGTGTTGTTTTTCTATCTTCAGGGAGTGGCTGTACCTGCTGTGTCATGAAATGTTGAACCCTTATTACGGCCTGTTCCAGTACTCCACAGACAATATCTACACACTACAGATCAACCCTGACTCCTCCATTAACCCTGTGAGTACACACACACACTAATACACACAACGTACTAAAGGGGACTCTCTCTAACCGAACGCCTCAATTCTTCTTTTGTTTCTCCTTCTTTCAGGACCACCTGTCATATTTCCACTTTGTGGGACGAGTTATGGGCCTGGCAGTTTTTCATGGTCACTACATCAACGGGAGCTTCACTCTGCCCTTTTACAAACAGCTACTCGGAAAACCCATCCAGCTCAACGACCTAGAGACCACCGACCCCGAGCTGCACAAGAGCCTCGTCTGGATACTGTGAGTGAATGCACACCTGACTGCAGATGAACTGCTCTTTATTTCACCGTCTCATTTTAGAGAGAGAGAGAGCAATGTTTTTTTTAGTTTGAGTTTTTAAGTATTATTTTTTCATACTTGTGCAGAGAGAACGACATCACTTCAGTCCTTGACCACACATTCTGCGTGGAGCACAATGCCTTCGGGAAGTTTTTACAGCATGAACTCAAACCCAACGGGCGCAACATCCCCGTCACTGAGGAGAACAAGAAAGAATATGTCAGGTAAGAACAGTTATTTGGTTTGTTTATACCCCTCAAACAAATTACAAACACAACATAAAGTGCTATTGCAAGTATATATTTATAACTGCATCAACTGTGTTTGTATTTTTCAGACTCTATGTGAACTGGAGGTTTATGCGAGGAATTGAAGCACAGTTTCTGGCTCTCCAGAAGGGATTCAGTGAGCTCATCCCCCAGCATCTCCTTAAACCTTTCGACCATAAAGAACTGGAGGTACATGTGCTGTCCCTGGAAAAACAAAAAAAAAACAGATTTTGCCTTTTCTTCATCCATCCCTTCTTCCTCTTAACACCTCCTCCCTCTCCCCAACAGCTCATCATCGGTGGTCTGGGGAAAATCGATCTGGCGGACTGGAAGACGAACACCCGCCTGAAGCACTGCACGAGTGAGAGCAACGTGGTGCGGTGGTTCTGGCAGGCGGTGGAGGCCTTCAGCGAGGAGAGGAGAGGACGCCTCCTGCAGTTCGTCACCGGCTCCACCAGGGTCCCACTACAGGGGTTCAAAGCGTTGCAGGGTGGGTCATGGACTTGCTTAGAAAACACACACATACTCACACACAGTACACACATTACATAGTATGTGTGTGTCAGTAGTCAGTTAAAAAATACTTGGGTGATTTAAAAAAAAAAAAATGAAAGAAAGGACTGGGATGTACGTACGTTGAGAAAGGGAATACAGTTTGTATCTAGAGAAGTAACATTTAAAACAAGTAGTTATAGACTGCCATCTGTTGTAGAAACCGCCAGATGTGCCTCTTAAAGAGCAGTTCATCTTCTCTAATGACAGAAAAGAAATTAAATCAGTCTGCCAGGCTTTGTTTGGTGGTAGATAAGGGCTTTTTCCCACTTTAACAGGATACGTCCACAAGAAATAAGACAAAGGCTAAAACATCAGAATCTTAACTATGTTGGACTGGAAGCTGCAGGGAGGACGCTGAAGCAGGGTTTGAGTTGAAATAATACTTTATTTGTATAGCACTTTTCTATACAAGTAACCAAGTGCTTTACAACAGAAAATAAAAGCAGAGAGACAATTAAAGCAACAGGCAGAGAGTAAACAAGCAGACAACAAAATCAGACTAATAAAATAAAAATAAAAACAGTGAACGAAATCACACAGTAAAAGCATTTTTATAAACGAATGTCTTGAGTAGAGATTTAAAACAAGAGACTGAATCTGCAAGTCTGATCTCCTGAGGGCTGAGGTCTTTCCCTAATGAATAGGATCCTTTAGAATCCCCTGATGTGTGCTTTGAGTGTATAAAGACTGATGTGAGTAGAGCAGTGATAACTAGAATGTATGTGTGTAAGGTTCTACAGGTTCTGCAGGACCAAGACTCTTCACCATTCATTTGATAGACGCCAACACAGACAACCTGCCCAAGGCTCACACGTGGTAAGACACACACACACACACACACACACACACACACACACACACACACACACACACACACACACACACACACACAAAGTTGCTGGAGTATTCAAGTGTCTGATTTTTGTTCACATTTGCCAAAAGTTTCACGTATTCTCCTTCTTGGTCTGCAGTTTTAACCGGATAGACATCCCTCCCTATGAGACTTATGAGAAACTTTACGAGAAACTGCTGACGGCTGTGGAGGAGACCTGCGGCTTCGCTGTGGAGTGATGAATCCAACAACCGGACCTACATACACCAGTTACGCTTGCACTTGCACACAACTATTTGACGTTTTACATACAGTATATAGACAAAAAAAACAAAAAAAAAACATCAACAGAATATCAAGTATACAGAGAGTATACGGAGCAGCCAAGCATCACAAGGACCCACAAAAAGCCCCTCGCCACCTCTTCACCGCTGAACTGTGGGGGGTTACAGGAGGAAGCACAGCAGGAGGGGGAAAATACAAAAAAAAAAAAAAAAAAAGACAGGAAAAAAAATAAAGAATTTTGAAATGTTTTCAGATGTTTTGAAGAAACATTTTTATCCTTCAGTTTTAACAAGCTATGATGTCATTCTTCAGAATGTCTGGCCCTGGACAGAATCAGCCAATCACACACAAGCCCTGTGAACTTTGAAAAACAGAAACGTGTGAAGAACAAGGCGGAGATCGATTGTCTTTCTGTCTGACAAGCTGATTGATTGACGAGTATTCATGCATCATGATTAACCACTGTTGTGTATCAGAATGTGTGTGCATGTTTGTTAGGTTTCAGTATGAAAGTGAGACTCTATTTGTGTCTGTGTGAGAGAGTGTGTGTGTGTGTGTGTGTGTGTGCCTGAGTGCGCCCGGTTACGCTGTAAAAATGATCAAATGAGCCTGCTCCTCTGTTTGGTAGCTTTTTGTCTCCTGTTTGTATCTGCGACCACTCTGATCCACTCTGATATTTTTATTATTTATTACTAAGTGATTACTGACCAAGCTGCTATGTGCTCCACAGAGAGCCCACACTAATCTCTTCATCCCCTCCCTCAAAACAATTAAAGAGGTCAAATTCACTCAGAAAAAATCGAGTAATCCAAATGAGCATTAATGCATCTTTTAAACATTTTAAACATTCATATTTTTATAGAGAAATACTCTTGTCAGTGTATGAAAACTGTATGTGTTTTGGTGTTTTAAATGCCATTTTTGCATTTATTTCATGTGAAAGGGATTGATCTCCCCAGCCCTAATTTTCAAATTCTAACTCTTCTTAAGTTATGGAGATGGAGAGGTCAAAAGGTTTGACCTGGTTTTTAAACAAAATGAGCCATGAGGAAAAGTAGAAGGAGTCACCTTCAGGAATTTTTTTTGGTTGTATGTGACATGTCTAATAAAATCTCACAAGCCTTCATACATGTTTCATCATCCATTTCAACATCTTTTTTTTATTTTTTTCATTCTTTGTGGCCCTGATGTTTCATTGCCTCTCTCTCCTTTTCTCCATAGCCTGATTGTTAGAGAAAGTAGTCTTTGTTTTGAGACCACCATGAATGAACAAAATTCTCTTTGCAGTCATTAATTCCTCTGTAGAAGTGAATGAAATCAAAGAAACAAAAATGTGGAAGGGGTTATGATCTGTTTTAGAATGAGTATTGAAGACTGTTAACGCAGTATCGATTCAATCTGCATTTTATAGGTTCTGAGTTCACTGTGTAATGGATGCAAGAGTATTGTAACTTACTATGTACTAAACATTTATGAAAAAATACAATGTAAATAAGATTATATTAAAAGAAATTGAAAATACACTCCTTGTTTTATGTGCATTATTTTCTGTATCTATGTCATTATTTAAATTGGCCAAAAAATGAACTGTATAAAATGTATGTAATGAGTGTTAAGTAATTTAATAAGTGTACTGTGCAGTTGTGGTTTTATATTGCTGGATATTATGGATTGGGGATATTGTCACCCTTTATAATTTGATATTTTAAGTTATTTATCAATTCTCCTTACACGTTAAATACTTTACAAGATAAGATAATCCTTTATTTATCCCACAACGGGGAAATTTACAGTGCTACAGCAGCAAAGAGCAAAGATTGCAAACAGAAAGTGAACAAAGTACAATTTAAATTAAAAAAAAAAAAAAATGAAGTATGTACAAAAAAATAGATTTAAAAAAAAAAAAAAAAAATTAGATCAGCTGAGCTGCAGTTTTGACAAAAATGTAGACTTTCACAGACTGGATCCTGGATAATGTATGCTATCTTAATATATTTAAATTACACCATAACACCTTTTTAAAGCAGGACGTTATTCTGTCCTGTCTCCATAACCTTCAACGATTCCACAATGACGCTGCTGACTTTACAAAACATGTTGAAAAAAAAGAGCATCTCCTCACATTTAGGTCCGGGGGCTCTTGCAGGACTACATTTCCCAGAGGGCCACCGCCGTTTTTACGTAGCGGAAGGGATTGTACGCGTGACGTATCTTCTGTTCTTGTTTTGGCAGTTTGTTTCGATATTCACGGATTGCTAGTCCACCAACAAGGCGCTTTGTACTGGCAAATCTCCACGAAGATGCGGTATTTAACATTTCTGCATGCGCATTTGACACTCTTAGCTTTCAGACTTTACACGTTTGTTCCGACGCAGTGTTATAGATAAGAATCCTGACGGCGGGCAGCTTACTGTGTAACCTACTAGCTCGCCAGCTACCCTAGCAAGGCGAGCTAATTGCCTTTAGCTTAGCTGTGAGCACAGGGTTTTTTTTTTTATTCTGTATGTTTTGCTGCGGAAATTATCGATTTAGCCTCTGATGTGTTGTTGTTTTTTGCCACATCATCTTAAACGCCGAGCTTATAAAACAACATTCATTCCGATGTCACGATCATGAGTGAAACACAAGTTAATATAGAAAGTATTTCAACATAAGCAGCAGCTCAGTGCTAAGTGTTAGCGTCCACTGTGATTACAGAAAAGTCTGATTCACACTGATTTAATGTCAGCTTTACTTACATCTAAAGGAAGCAGGGCTGGGTTAGTAAGTTAAGGTGACGGAGTGAATGTTTCATATTCATGTTGGATCGTGTTTCTCAACAGCTCTAAGTTAACTTTCGGTAAAAAATAGGTTTCGTCGTTTTTAAGTTGGTGACACACATCCTAACTCCTCTTCACTCTGCTCATCAGGCTTTCAGTTAACTCTCCTGTTGCTTACATGTTTGTTTGTTTGTTACAAGGAACGACCAACCATTCTCTAGTTTGGTAAAGTGACACTATTTGTTGATACTCTAGGGGGATTTTCAGGTCTAACTGTGTGTGTGTATGTATGTGTGTGTGTGTGTAGATGGTATTAAATGAGCAGTGACTGTATGTGTAAGTGGGCTGATTCAGGGAGCTGCTAGGTGTGGGTTCAACATGGCAGATGGAGGCAGCGACGACGAGGTCATTCATCTGGCGAGCTTCAATGTCCACCGCAGCCAAGGTGCGACACCACCTCATATCCACACTCACATTCAAAAAAAAAAAAAAAATCTTATGCAATGTCCTGCTCCACTTTCAATTTCTCAATCAGTTTGAAAATCAGCCGCTGTGGTGGTAGCAGACTATTTTGTATGTCAGACCTGTTTCATAGTTGTTGCTCCAATTGCAAACCATGTGGGTAGACATCCAAACCTCATGGATGCACAGGTATTCAAAGTCCAGCATGTCTTGATCTTGTTTACATTAGGGTTGTACATTACATTTTATGCACAATAAAATATAACATGTTTTTATTTATTTTTAAATGATATAATATTTCATCACAATTTTGACTAGATTGGATTGAAAGGCCTGCAAATGAGTTGGTATCATATTCCAATATAACAAAATTGAAGCAGAACAGAAGTTACACTGGTGTGCAAAAGGGCTTCAAAATAATGTTTATCATAGAGATGATGTTTATTTATTTATTTTTTTTAAAGATTTATTTTTGGGCTTTTAATGGAGAGATAGGACAGTGGATAGAGTTGGAAATCAGGGAGAGTGGGGAATGACATGCGGGAAAGAGGCCACAGGTGGGATGTGAACCCGGGTCGCCCGTTTGAGACGACAGCCTCCATACATGGGGCGTGCGCACCAACCACTGCGCCACCAGCGCCCCCGAGATGGTGTTTTTAATAGCCTTTCACTATGCATTGAGGATATTGGATCGTTGAATATCGAAAGAAAAAGTTATATAAAGACTGAAGAAACCAGCAATTATGAACCTCAGGTTGTTGACAAGATGTTTTTGTGAAAACAATTCTAAGAATTATAAGATAACCTACTTTGCATTGCAGTTTCTTCAATTCGGAATTGTGTATATAATGTCACTATAAGGCAACTTTTACTTCCGTTCATGCAGAAGTAATATGTCACTCAACACAACCTTGTATACCATTATAAAGATTAAGTACAGGCTCAGACATGATTTTCAGTTTTTCCTATCTCTAAATGTTTAAAATATTCCACAATTTCCCAGTTTGGGATCAATAAAGTAATTCTATTCTATTCTATCCCAGTTTATTGCAAATATCTACTGTTTGACATGCACAGGTTCTCGTCCCAGGAAGAGGGAGCTCATCACTATTTCTGATGATTCTGACGAGGAGCCTGTAACTTTGGTACCCGGCAGCCCTGTTTTAGTTCCAGACGACGCAGATGATGATGACGTCAGCATCCTGGAGGTAAAATATAGACTCTGTGTTCAACTCTGTAATTTGCACACACAGAGACTTTCCTGTAAATAGAGGTTTGTGGTCTCAAGTTTAATTAATTTCTCAGTGTTGCGTCACTGCAGAGCTGCAGATATATATTTACAAGTTTAATCTATGTCCATTCATTTTTGAATGTATTGTTTTTGTCCTCCTGCAGGCGCTGACTCCCGCACGCAAACATGTGATTCGTCCAGCAGCAAAATGGAGCGGAGCCTTACACAAACCAATTCATGATACAGGTCATAGTAGCGCAACTTCTGGGGTTCCCGCGGGGGACCCTGGTTCTGCCCCCTCTACCTCCAGAGATGCCAAGGCGGCTTCCTCCGCAGTCAGGCCAGCCATACGAACGCCAGTTCAGCCCAGCAATTCTGCACACACACAGCCGCAGCCGGGCTCTGCGTCACACACACTATCTCAGCCAAAACTTCACGCGAACTTTCAACAAATGGACGGTACATCTGCACATGCAAAAGTGGAGCTCCATGCAGTTTCTTCTTCAGTTCAAACGCTGTCTACCTCCACACATGCCAAGGCCAGCTCCATCGCATCAAGAGCACCCGTACGAGAGCTCATTCAGCCTAAGCCCAGCACATCCGGACTCGTGCAGCAACAGGCCGGCTCTTCAGCACACTTAATGGCGGAGCCCCAAGCAGGAACCTCCACCTGTGCCTCACAATCTTCTTGCGCCGTGGCAACAACCGCGTCAAGTTCTTCTACACAGACTCGAGAGAAGGCTGGTACAAGTACTCATTCACAAGACAATCCTCAGGCCAGCACTTCTTCTGCACAGTCCCACACACAGACTCAGTCTCAGCCCGGTACATCTACACAGATCCAGTCCAGTGGGACCACAATCCTACAGCAACACCAAGTCATCAAGGTGAAGGGGATGAATCTCGTCGTTCTTCCCCATCAGCCGAGCATTCAGGCCTCTGCTCTAATAACCCAACCCCAGCTGCATTTCAGGCCTCAAAACCTGCTGCATCCGGTGTCCTTCAATCACATGCAAGGCAACCTCATTCAGATCGAACCTAAGCCCTTTGCTCATACCCCGGCCCAAACCCCAGTCCAGGCCGCTCAACCCCTTCAGGTGACATCGGTGATCCCCCCTGCGGTCCTTGTAGCCACAGCCCCAGAGAGACTAGGCCCTCCAGAGGCAGGGCACCGGATCATCTTGGGAAGCCAGGCACCTGGCGGGGCTGTTCCCAATCCCCCGTCAAATTCTGCCGGCTCCAGTGTGGGTGCAGCACGAGCAACCGGTTTCAACATCAGGGTGCCTAACATGGACTCAAACCCTCCTGTCCCTCCAGCTGCCGCAGCTTCAGTCCCGCACAACGGGGAAGAGGCTCGTCTTGTTCTGGCTCCAGCTCTTAACCATGAAAGGGTCAATCCAGCTCCTGGTCTGGTCGCCGTCCCTCCTGCACCAGAGGAGATTCCTCTCATAGAGGACGCAAGACCTGGGCCCTCTGCACCTCGAGAGAGGCCGGAGCATCAGCCCCACATCAGAGCGCTGATCACTGGTGTTGTGAGTGTCACATAAATGTGTGCAAACAGTAGAATCACCCTTGTCTCTATTACCAAAACAGTTAGATGATTTGAATTGTGCTGTTTCTGTTATTGTGCCCACTCCATTAACATGCTGGAGGGCCGCAAAATATTAGGAGCACCTTTCAATATAATGCACTCTAGTACACCTCCACCTCCCACTACAACTTTGAAAATAAAGTACAAGTATCACCTTTCTGATTATGTCAACAGATACTGAAAGTGTAGAAGCTTCTCTCAAGTAGAGAATGTGGTAGAGCTATTGTATTTTGTATTAGATTGCATTGGTGGTCCTCATGTTATGTCTGATAGGTGTAAGTAGGTTTCTCATCTCCTCTGTCCTTGCTATATTCAGTCTGCTCACCTCTTTGTTTGTCCTCCACAGTTGGATCTCCTTCCAGATGTCCAAGAAGCCTTTGTAGCAGAACTAATCCAAAAGAATAATGTGAAAGACTTGAATGTGTAAGAGGCATAAATCCTTTCATTGTTTTACTGCAAGCATTTTGTTAAGTTCAGGAC